TGCTGAAAAAATTCAGCTTTGCCCTCACAGGAATAAATTATATTTTTATAAAATTGAAATTGAAATCAGTGATTTAAAATTATAATAATATTTCACAGTATTACTGTTTCTACTGTATTTTTGTATATTAATGTAGCCTTGGAAAAAAAAAAAAAAAAAAAAAAACTTTCCAGCCCCAAACTTTTGAATGAGTGGGCATCTCTGCATGGATAGTTTAATAAAAACCTCCCAGTACCATGTTGTTTCATGTTTAATCCATTTGTTATTATTGTTTTATTATAAGGTAGTCATAAATGCTGCTTGCTTTTGACTCTAAACCATTTTCAGGAAAAGAAAAAGTCAGAGTAATAACTAGGGCTGCAGCTGATTTGAATAATCGGTCAATTATTTCAATTATTATATCAAATGTAATTGCATTTATGCTAATTGTAAAAAAAAAAAAAATGCATGTCTTACTCTGTGTTTTCCTGTGTTCTGTTGCTCTGTTTGTCCCATGTTAACCTTTTAGCAAGCAGCTTTCTCAACACTAAATGCTGTGCTCACTTTAGTGGCACAGGAAAGGTTGTGGGATTCTGTCATTAATGTGGTTTTGTGTTGCTAGGAGACTTGTCATAATAATGACTATTCACTTAGTGAGTCAGATTGGCTAATATTTGCTCATGGAACAATAATGTTTATTGTCTGCCTCCTTTAAAATAAAACCTAGGTTCTGTATGATTTTTAGATTAATCGCACAAACCTGCCTTCACCTAAACTACTTCCACACATGGCTGTTGATGCTTTTCTACTGGAACATAAACTGAACGCTTTCTAATGAGTTTCTTCTCCACTTCAGGCCTTCATTCGCAGATGTTTGGTGTACCGTAAGGAGGATCGCATCGATGTTCACCAGCTGGCCAGTGATCCCTACCTCCTCCCGCACATACGCAAGTCAGTGGCCACCACCGGTAACTCCAGCACGGCCGTCGCCTCCACCTCCAGCTCCTCCAACAGCAGCGCCTCAAATTGAGAGCCCAACCCATCCTCGCGAGTTTGGACCGGAGCAGGCGGTGTGGGGCATTGGCATTTTGCCCCGCCCTTCTCTGCAGTGCACTGGAAGGGGTCTCATACCCCTTACCTGCCGAGCAAGGGAGCAGGAGGAAAGGATAAGAGAGGGATGGAGACAAAACGCATCTCCCTCCACCCTTCTTCCTCTCCCAGGCATCTGGAGGCTTGAATTGTTTCGTTTTATTTTCCTTTTTGGATGGGAGGGGACTAAAAAGCACCCCACGAGCGAGCCAGAGCGAGAGGGTGCGTTACCTGTGAGAAGGACCGAACTGCTGAGACCGGTGGAAGAGACTGGTATATGCCCTGCACCCCACAACACACAAACACATGCACACACACACATATAAACACACATTTATAACGAGGTCAGCTTGATTTTTCTTATATGGGACAAGCCCGCTCATACTAATGTGCATTCAAGTGTACAATATTCCTAAAGATCTGGAGACACTTCCTGCTGACACAAAGCCCGTCCCGG